AGCTGACGTTTCTGAAGAAGGATCCAGACCGGAAACGTCAGCTTTCCTGCTCCGCTGATGCTGCTTGGCCTGCTGTGTTCCTCCAGCTCTACACCTTGTTATCTCAGATTCTCCAGCATTGGCAGTTCCTACTATCTCTCATTCGTTATTTTGCCTTTTTTTCTCACTTCAAGATCTTTGCCGTAAACCTTTTAATGTTGTGATTGCTATTGCTTTGATGTTCCATTACACAAGGCTCGTTCAGCTTACGCGATAACAAAGAGAAAATATCATTTCCCTCTTTCTGCTTTTTCTGTCAACTTTTGTCAGTTGTAGGGAGTAGGTGTGTACTCGCATGAGTAAACGTACAAGTCTAAAGAGAAAGTCAACATTGGAGAGCAGACTAGTGATTCAAGTAAAATCAAGTAGCGTTTATCAGGAAAAGGCAGAGATGTTAACAATAACAAAGTGCCTATAGTAATTAGGATTACTTCAGGGAAAGTACTGTAAAGTTAAATTTAAACATGCTTTATCTGATAGGTTGAAGCATTTGCGAATGAGGTAAGTATTTTACTAGCCCTAAATAATTTGACGTTGTAACCAGTGCAGAGACTCATTGCAAAGTCACCAAAGGTGAGAATTTAAAAAAAAAATTCCAGGTTTGATTGATTTTTGGAAAAGACATACAACATGGAGAGTGGAATGTCTGTTAAATGAAAGCTGAGATAAAGGCAAAAGAGGAAAATAATCTTTGACCAGAATTTGGAGATGTGGCATCAAAATGGATACAACTATGAAATAGGAAAAGATAGAAGATATTGGTGAGAGTAGTTATTAAGCCCTTAACAATGGCTAGAATTTTGGAAAGGGTAAGCAGAAATATAGGTGCTTCATTTTGACCAGCACAGACTCAGTGGGCTAAATCCATTCTCTTGATTTTCCAGAATTCCTTAGATTCTCAGGTGGTCCCTGCCTGTTGGAAGGTGTCAAATATAACCCTTCTTTCAAGAAAGGACAGAGAAAGAAAGTAAGGAATTAAACTGGTCAGCCTTACAATAACAGTCTGAAGAATGCTAGAATCCATTGATAGAGCTTATAGTAACGGAGCACTGTAAAAAATCCTAATCCATTTAGGCAGAGTCAACCGAGTTTAAGAGAAATCTTGTTTGACAACCCTAATTGAATTTCTTGAACGTGTAACTGGTATGACAGATCAGGAGCAGCTGGTAGATGACGTATATATAGTAAGCTGAGCTCTACCCTCTTTTATTTGAGCATTAGCAAGCTTTATTAAATATCGTTACAGCTAGTCAGACAAGCTGCATGTTCTTGTGAGTGATCTGCAGCAAAATTTATTGTACATGACTGTATACACAGAAAGGTAAATAATAATGGGAAACCAGGAAATGGCTGAGGAGTTGTACAAATATTTTACATCACAGTAGGGAATATTAACAGCATCCCAAAATTATTAAATATTCAAGGGGCAAAAGGAAGGGAGGAAATAAGTGCAGTAAGTATCAGTTGAGAAAAAGTGTTAATGAAACAAATTGGGGCTAAAAATCAATACGTGCATCAGGCTTGGAAGGAATGCAGTCTAGGAAACGAAGGGAAGGAGCTAGAAATAGTGGAGGCAATCTTCCGAGAATCCTTAAATTCTGTAAACATTTCAGACAATTGGAAAACAATGTGATAATTTTATTTAAAAATGAAGGAGACAAAAAACTACAGATCAGTCATCTTAATGTATGTTATTAGAAAAATGTTAGAGTCTGCTATAAAGGATGCGATGGCAGAGTGTTTAGAAATGCATACTATGATCAATTCTTTGAGGTGATAACAAGCAGGATAGATAATGGGGAACGTAATAAATTTAGATTCTGAGAGGCATTGGTTAATGTACCACACATTAGACTACTTAGAATCATAGAATCCCTACAGTGTGGAAGCAGACCATTCAGCCCATCGAGTCCATGCTGACCCTCCAAAGAGCATCCCACCCAGAACCACTCCCCTACCCTATCCCTGTAACCTTGCATTTCCTATGGCTAATCCACCTAACCTATACATCCCTGGACACTACAGGGCAATTTAGCATGGCCAATCCACCTAACCTGCACATGTTCGGACTGTGGGAGGAAACCGGAGCACCTGGAGGAAACCCACACAGACACAGGGAGAATGTGCAAACTCCACACAGACAGTCGCCTAAGGGTGGAATCAAACCTGGGTACCTGGCACTGTGAGGCACTGGTGCTAACCACTGGGCCACCGTGTGTGCCCCCCCCACCATACTAAGATAAGAGCCCATGTGTTGAGGGGAGTATATTAGCAAGGGTAGAGGATTAGCTAACTAATAAGGATGATGTGGAGGTGCCGGTGTTCGACTGGGATGGACAAGGTCAGAAATCACATGACACCAGTTTATAGGCCAGCAGGTTTAATACATCCTCATCAGTGGTGTGACCCTTTGATCTTATACTAATAAATTCTGTGTCTGTCTCACTAACACCTGAAGAAGGAGCGAGGCTCCGAAAGCTTGTGTTTTCAAATAAATCTGTTGGACTTTAACCTGGTGTCGTGTGATTTCTGACCTAATAATAAAAGATTAATAACTAATAATAATTAATAAGAGACAGAGAGACAGGGTAAGGAGAGCATTTTCAGGATGGTAACCTATAACTAGTGGTGTGCCGCAGGGACCAGTGCAGGGGCCACAATTATTTACAATATATATTCATGACTTGAATGTGGAAAGTGAGTGCACTATTGTCAAGTTTGTGAAAGAGACAAAAATCGATGGGAAGCCAAGTGGTAAAGGTCACACACAGTCTGCCATGGGATATAGAAAGGTTAAGTGAGTGGGTAAGAACGTGGCAGATGGAATATAGTGTGGGAAAATGTGAGTTTATTTACTTTGGCAGGAAGAGTAGAGGAGTAGAATATGATTTAAATAGAGAATTACCAGAGAAGGCTACATAACAGAGGGATTTAGATATCCTCGTCCATGAATCGCAAATAAACTAACGACAAAGTTGTGTGGGTAGTGGGAAAGACAAATGGAATGTTGGGCCTTATTTCGAAGGGAATAGAGCGTAAAAGGAGGGAGGTTTTACCAAAACTGTGCAAGGCACTAATCAGACCACAACTGAAATACTTTGAGGAATTTCTTCTCTCAGGGGGTAGTGAATCTGTGGAATTCTTTACCGCAGAGGGCAGTAGAGGCTAGGTCATTGAGCATATTTGAGGCTGAAATGGATTTTTACTCAGTAAGGCAATCAAGGCTGATGGGGAAATGACTCTCGAAAATTGAGAGTTAATCCATTGACAGATGTCGCATTCTTATGGGGCTTGACACTATTACTGAGAGTCTAGAACACAAGGTCATAGTCCCAGGTTAAGTAGTCAATCACTTATAACTGAGTTAGGACAAACGTCTTCAATCGGAGAATTGTGAATCTTTGAACTACTAGTGATCTGTTGATCTTTAGTTTTGATGATTTCAAAGGCTGCGAGCTATTTGGAATTGAGGGATAGAGTGAGAAAGTGGAATCAAGATAGGGGATGTCAAAATCTTACTGAGTGTTGGAAGAGCTGAAAAAACCTACTCCTGCTCCAGTTTCCTCTGTTGTTCAGCCTGGACTCAAGCTCATATTGTCGACCACTCAATGTCACTCAGTATGGGGAATGAGAGGGACCTGAGTGATGAAGTCGTAGATTGCGAGGGGCCAGTGGGCTCAGGGCAGTGTCCTGACATTACGATCCCTGTGGTGTTCTGGTTTCAGGCGGTGTTCGACTGCGTGGTGACATCACTGAAGAACGTGTTTAACATCCTGATAGTCTACAAACTCTTCATGTTCATCTTTGCAGTGATCGCCGTACAGCTCTTCAAGGGCAAGTTTTTCTACTGCACAGACAGCAGCAAGCTCACTAAAAAGGAATGCAGGTGACGGAGGCCTCTCATATTCCCACTGTATTGCATGTGGTCACACTCGCGTGCATCCACACACACACACACACTCATGCTCTCACACACACGCTCACACACACTCACGCTCTCACACACACTCACGCTCACACACACACTTATGCTCACACACACACACACACACGCTCACACACACACACACACTCTCACATACACACACACACA